CCAAGACAGTAATACCGTTAAGGGCCAGTAGCTTTTGGCAGTGGCCCAGAGGAGTATCTGATGTTGAACGAGAAAATCTGTGCTGTTCTTGGGCAGGTGAATCATAACAGTCCTCCGTCAATCAAAAATTTAGTGGGAAAAGGCCCTGAGCACTGCATCACACGCCTAATGAGAGTGTGGGTTGGCAACTCAATGCAGATGCGGAACTAGCAGAGGGTGGCCGCATATTCATCGACAAATTGGAGGAAATACACCACCAAAAAGAGAGGGCAAAAGAGGACACAGGTTTGCATATGAGATTTACATCTATACATGCAAATTTAGAAAGAAATGGTATTATTTTAATAGAAATATGATTTTGAGTGGGGACACGACATGCTGTGCAGGAGTTAACTGTTGATGGGCAACTTGAGGGCATCACCCATTCCTTTTGATGGTCCTCAACCCAGGAACAAGACATTGTAAAGGAAATGCAGAAGAGTTCTGTCTCTTTGAGGAGCTGGGATCCTTCTCATGTTCAGCTTTCTGCATTTTGTGATGAGCTATGCTAGTTCCCCAAGCCAATTAGGTGTTTGTGACTGGACATTCGCAAAGCTAGGGGATGAAGCCTCTAGTAAGATATCGTGGTTGACCCTTGTAGTAGGCAGGGTAGTTGGGATGGGAGTTATCTATTCCAGCTTATGACCAAGTATTCTCAAAATTCTTGGACTACAGCCAGAAGAAGAGGGATAGTATGGGTGTCCCTGGGACTCCCCAATTCAGAATCCCAGTGCAGCCCATCTGGAAAAGTGCATTATATTCATGGCCATGAGGATATATTTGTCCCTGATTCTGGGAAGCTTCCTAGTGACTGAAAAGACAAATGTTTAATCATCTTTTTCTGTGCTTGCTTGCTGCAATTATCACATTGCAGTGTTCTGCTTTAATCTTCTGCTCTACTAATTTGCTTCTGTTTAATATAGTCTTTAGCCTTCCCTCTTTGGTGTGTTCATTGTGCTTTGAATCCCTAAAGAACCATTGCCTATTGGCAACACAAACATGGACTAGACAGTTCTTCCAACAGAGGATGGTCCTCTGGCAGTTCTTCCAATAGACGTGTGTCCGTGTGGACAAATTAGCACCCTACTGAACCAGTGTGGTGGCAGAAAGAAAGGTTAAGAAACTGAGTTGGGGTGAGGGAAACCAGATGGATTCCTGTGCTGGACCTTCTGTCTTCCTCTTCTGCATTCTCAGTTAAGTATTGAAAAAGCCTCTGACAGTGAATACCTTGAAAGCCATAGATGACGTGGGTCCAGTATACCCTAGGAACTAGTGCAGAGGCCCTCCTTGATGATTATCCTATGATGGAGGTACCATTAGCTGGAACAGGAAGAAGGGCCTGCTTGGTGGTTGCACCCATGTTCTGAAATACCTTGCCCCATGGGGTTTGTTTGCTCCTCCTCATTCTGTGCTTTCCAAGGGTTAGTGAAATCTTGCTCTGGCAAGCTTTGGTCTTGCCAGGCAGGTGGCATTTGATATGGTGTACCATCCCGTAAGGCTCTTTTGCTTGTACATTGTTTCATAATTTGATTCATTATAGGATTGCAATGTATTAATCACATTTGCCATTTTAGTTTCTGTGAGCAGCTTTGGAAGGAACTCTTTGAAATAAATGGCTAGATTTTTCGGTGAGGGTAAGAAAAAGTATGTGGTGATTCTACACAAATAGCAATCGTGGCTTTCTTTTTGAGACAAAGAGCAGCTCCAGGTATTAATATTGTAAAGATATGACTGAACGTGTGTGAAGCAATGCCCAAAAACTATTTCTTCATTTGTTTGTGCAGTGAAGATCTGTGCTAACAGCTGAATTGAAGCCTCAAAAGGAGAAAGATTATCTTTACCTGAAACATCAGTATAAAAGATGATATGAGATAGGCCATGATCTTTGTAAATGCAGCCTGATTGCGGAATACCAGATGTTGATTGTTAATTCATTGAAAGGTTTTGTCGTAGTTCTGCTTTTAAGTGAGACCACAACACACATCTATTTGTGACTGAAACTGGTGTTTTATACCAAAATGTTTCACATTTTACGTATCTGTGTATCTGTGTGTGAGAGAATGTATAAGATTTTAAAATAACTTCCATTTTAATCCATTTTAAAATAAACAATATATATTTTAAATGTATATCAAATGTCTAAACTGGATGTGCTAACCGAGAGTAATTTTGCTTGATGCTTTGGAGTACTACATTAGAAGCACTGCCTGCCTATCACGTTACTTGTTTGATTTGTGCCTCACCTTTCTTCCAAAATGGGTACTTAAGGTAACTGAAACACCAGGATGAAATCTCAAGAACGGGGCGGGGGGGGGGGGAATCACCTGGTGATCTAATCATGGGTCTTTAGTGCTTTAGTGCCTTGAGGACTTCCTTGTTTGTTTCAAGTATTTATTTATTTATTTGCTTTTATATACCATTCAGTAGTCATATACAGCTCCTACAACAGTTCACAGAAAAGCAGCACCATAAAATGTAGGCATTAATAATCACAACATCGTACAACAATTCCGCCAATTAAAACAATGCAATAAAAACAGTTGCAAAGGGGCTGTTGTACTAGCTGATGCAAAACAAGTTAAGGAAAACAGGAAAGATAGCAGAAATTAAATGGGTTGCAGAATTTGGCTTTTCTTGGGACAGATTTTTTTTAAGCAACGCAAACCATAGAAAGCAGTACACATTACCCAGAGGATCCATCACCAGGCCCAGATACAACATTTGTTTTACTACAAAGCGGGGTTTTAGCTTGCAACTTTTAAAAATGTGACATGGCTGTAGCACCAGGCTCCTTTATATAAATGGTGCCTAAAGGCAAGCATGACCTTTTAATTACCTTTTGATTATGTGAACCTTTCAAGGGTTCTCAGGGCTCAGGCTGAACCAAACTGGGGTTGTAAATGAGAAGCAAAGCAAAGCTGCCCTCCCTCTTTCCTGTTTCAGAGGTAGGGATGTGTGATTTCTGGAGGGCAGACTTACTGGAGTTCCCTTGCTCCCTTGTTGCCTTCTTCCATCATCTCCCACCTGCCTCTGTAAATGCCTAGTTCCAAGAGGCACCCTGGGTTAAAATGGCAGCCATCACCTAGTTGAAGATGGGCCAAGGGGAAAATAGCATCTGAGAAAGATTCCAGCTCAAAGGAGGTTCAGGTGAGAGGTGGCCCTTCAGGTACACTGGTCCCAAGCTATTTAGACTTCAGATATTAAAGCCAGCCCTTTCCTATTTACCTGAGAGCAGCCCAGAGGCCAATGCGATCATTTTAAAACTGGTTTGCTAGATTCCTTAGGATGGCTTCAATAGCAACCTGGCTTTTGACACAGTGAAAAACAGTCTCCAAAGGAAGCCCCCACCCCAGAGGGCACTACAAAGCCAGTGTCTTACCATGTCAGAAATGTAGGTTCAGCCTAGCCAGAAAACACACTGGCCGATTTTCAGCCAGTCATCCTCTCTCACTTACCTGTACAGAGGATGGTGATATAAAGGGAAACTCATATACCATCCCTGTGGACCCCTTGGAGGAGGGTTGAGATAAAATGCGATGAATAAATAATCCAAATAGGAAGTCACAGAGTATGGTTAGCTGTAATAAAGCATATGTGGTCAGGTAGCTAGAGATGTTAAAGCCTGGGGAAAAATCAGGAAAAAAACCGAAGTTTATCCCCATTTTGTTGTTTTTTTTTAATGTTGTTTTATTTTCTTTTAGGTCTTCACATCTCCTCAGGTAACTCAATGTGTTTCTAGGCAGTGTAATATGTTCTGATATGCCATGTGAAATCTTGCCAAGTACCACATTTTGGCACCTTGATACACTAGGAATATAATATGATTGGAATGATTGGCAGTTTCCACTGTGAAAGGAAAGTCTCCATTTCATCTTGTTCCCTTCTGTTTCTTGTCCAAGTAGGTAGATGTGCATGGCAGTACATGACCCTTGTAGTATCTACACTTGGTGAGAAAGGTGGTAAACATTCATAAGTGCAAAGAAGCAAACCAGTTCATAGTACCCAGAGCTTTCATAAGCCACAGCCTTTTTCTTCAGCTGCATAAAGTAGATTAGAAAATGGTGTGGAGTGGCAGGCTGAGGCACAGCTGAGGACAAACAAAGCATCAGGTCCAATCTTGATCATATAAATGACATGTATGAACATAGTCCATAATCCAAAGCACTAAACATGGAAACTTGACCGAACCCAGATTCATCTACATTTCTTTATTTTCATGTACCTTCATGGCAGAATTCAGAGGTCTTACTTAGAATAGATTTCTTTCTGGTTCTCATCATTAAGACAAAAACAAATGTCTTGTTGGCCTTCACTCTCAGTAAATAATTTTGGTATGGAAGTGAAGAACTCACAGACGAATGCTTTGAATGCCCATGTGGTTCAGGGTGGTGGGTGTGTTGGACGGGGACTCAAGAGTCTTGGATTCTAGTCCCCTCTTGCTCACAAAGCTCACTGGATGACTTTGGGCCAGCTACTGATTCCCAGCCTAACCAACCACACAGGTCTGTTGTGAGGATAAAATGGACAGCAGGAGAATTGTATAAGCTGCCTTGAGTTTTTACAAGTGAAAAGAGATGTATATAAATGTAATAAATGCATTAATGATATAGTGGTAGGAGAACGGCTCATTAATACCAACTAAATAATCCTTCCCTAAATCTGATGCCTAATCCTTCCCTAAATCTAGATATTTTGGACTGCAAGGCCAAGATCATTGGCCACGCTTGCTGAGGCTGGTAGAAGTTGAAGTCCCAAACATCTAGCGGACTCCCAAGTTGAAGAAGGCTGACCTAAGCATTGTAACAATGAAGCACTTTTCATTTCTTGTTTTCTGTGCAAGCTACGATCCTGAATGTGCAGTTTCTACACTGCTTTACTTACAAGTGAAGCCAATATGTGAGAAACAGTGCAACGAATTCCACTATTTCAAGGGTAATAACCACTTTCTCTTTTATTTTCAGATTTTGGCTATTATTTCCATCATGTTCATCGTCCTCTCAACGATTGCTTTGTCACTCAACACTCTTCCTGAGCTCCAAGGCACTGATGAATATGGACATCCGACAGATAACCCCCAATTAGCCCACGTGGAGGCTGTCTGCATCGCGTGGTTTACCATGGAATACCTCCTAAGATTCCTCTCCTCTCCTAAGAAATGGAAATTTTTCAAAGGTCCGCTGAACGCTATCGACTTGTTAGCCATCCTGCCCTACTACGTCACCATCTTCCTCACAGAATCAAACAAAAGTGTACTTCAGTTTCAGAACGTGCGGAGGGTTGTTCAAATATTTCGAATCATGAGGATCCTCCGAATTTTGAAGCTAGCCAGGCACTCCACTGGTTTGCAGTCCCTGGGATTTACTCTCAGGAGAAGCTACAATGAGCTTGGATTGCTCATATTGTTTTTGGCCATGGGCATCATGATCTTTTCCAGCTTGGTGTTTTTTGCAGAAAAAGATGAGGAGGACACCAAATTCAAGAGCATCCCAGCGTCCTTCTGGTGGGCAACAATAACTATGACAACAGTTGGCTATGGGGACATCTACCCCAAAACACTGCTAGGTAAAATCGTTGGTGGGTTGTGTTGTATTGCTGGCGTCTTAGTGATTGCACTCCCCATCCCCATCATTGTAAACAACTTTTCTGAGTTCTACAAGGAACAAAAGAGGCAGGAAAAAGCTATCAAGCGCAGAGAAGCCCTTGAAAGAGCAAAAAGAAATGGGAGCATCGTATCCATGAATATGAAGGATGCTTTTGCCAGGAGTATAGAACTGGTGGACATAGTTGTTGAAAAGAAGGGAGAAAATGCAGGGAAAAAGGATAAAGTTCAGGACAATCATTTATCCCCAAACAAGTGGAAATGGGCCAAGAGATCACTCTCTGAAACTAGCTCTAACAAATCCTTAGAGACAAAGGAACAAGGCTCACCAGAAAAGGCTCGGTCCTCTTCTAGTCCTCAACATCTGAATGTTCAACAGTTAGAAGACATGTACAACAAAATGGCAAAAGCTCAGTCCCAGCCAAACCTCAACATGAAGGAGTCAAGTCAACCCAGCAAGCAAAAAGAAGAGCTAGAAATGGAGGCCATTCCTGGCCCAATGGTCCCTTTGCTGACTACTCGAGCAGATGGAATCATCGACATGAGGAGCATGTCAAGCATTGACAGTTATATAAGCTGCGCTACAGAATTTCCAGACTCTGGGAGATATTCCCATAGCCCACTAACTAGACTGCCTAGCAAAGGAGGGAAAAATCTGCTTCAAGATCCATCTAAGCCAGAGGGAAGTGGAGCCAAATTCATGGAGATAAAACCAAATCTCGAGAGCAGCCATTGCTCTACCTTTTTCATAGAAAGTCCCAAGAGTTCCATAAAAGTCATGAATCCTCTGAAATTCAGATCCCTGAAGGTTAACTTTATGGAAGAGGATGCCATACGATCAGCAGCATCCAACGTCCTGAGAATTTATTCAGATCCCCTCAAGAACAGGGGAGCTACAGGTGCCACTACCGATAGTTCCGGGCACTCAGACCGATCTTTAATGAGTCCAGAAACCTCCATTTATACAACTGCAAGTGCTAGAACTCCCACAAAGTCACCAGAGAAACAGGCAGCCATAGTTTTTAACTTCCACGATGCTGGAATACATAAATATATTGATGCTGACACTGATGATGAAGGTCAGCTACTATACGACTCAAGCCCTCCAAAAGCCCCACCCGTAAACACAAGTCCCAAATACAGTCTTTCACACAGTGGCTATTTGCGGCAAAGGGATAGTGTTTATAGAACAGCGAAGAACCATTTAGAGACTGCTGCTATGCCATCTTCATCCAAGCTTATAGGGCAAAATTGCCTTTATTCCATGGAAAATATCACTGGAAGAACCCGTGGTGCCCAGGAAACTATCAAATTAGACAATCACATTTCACCCGAGGTTCACATATTGCCAGGTGGGGCAGGACACAGTAACACACACGATCAAAATATCTGACGTGTGCTCCCGAACTTTTGTTGAAAGCTGAAAAGGAATGCCTTTACACTCAACACACAAAGAAGAGCTTCTGCATGGCATGAACCTTTGACTGAAACAAGCCATCTGTTTTGTAAAAGCCAGGAGGATGCCCTGAAGGTGGGCTTGGGAATAAGACCTCCTCTGGATCCACTACAAAGTTGGCCGAGTTTTGCTACAGTCCTCACGTAAAACGAAGATTGTGCAGTTTGATCATAATTTGATCTCCTTGCAACTTCCTTAACTGAAGTCAGTGTGACCAGATAGTCCATCCTCTCCCTCTTTTCGCTGGACCTTTTTTATGGCAATGCCAGTATTTGATTTGCATTAATCCCATTAAAGGAGGCCAACGCAGCCCCAGTCAAATACTGGAACAAATTGGTAAATGTAATAGAGTTATCAGAAATGCAGCACTTTTTGTTTAGAGGCAACTGTTCCAAACATCCCCATCTATGCCTTTTTCTCCAGTGGATACAAGGTCTAAAGGTAACAGGGTGGGCTTCGGTAGGTTTACACTTAAGTTGAAAATTCAGTGAATTGAGAAATAAACTTTTTAATTCTCTGTGTGTGCTTAATACTTCAAGATTCATTGGGACCTGAAGTTTTGTGTTTTTTTTTTTAAAGCAGGGTGAGTTGCACCACTTGTTTCTAAATCCAAAACACTCCTTCAAAATTATATTTTACAACTGCATGTACCACTCTGCTCAAAGGAACACCAAATCTGAGATCAGGAAAGCAGTTAGGAAAATAGTTTTTCTACTTAAAATAGTGGGATGTGTGAAGGAGGCATTCTTATGCTCTTACACAAGAGACAGAGACATGTCATTATTCTTGGAAGTGAATAAACAAGAAAGATCTCATCCTTTTGCTTGTGGGGGAGAGGGTATCCCTAACAGGGTACTCCCCTCCAAAAGAAAACCCCCAGTAGTTAAGGAAGTTAAGGAAAAGTGCAGCCATATAACTTTCTGACAAAAAGAAAATAAAAAAGAAAAGAGAAAAATAACAGCATACCACCTTGGGTTGCATTGCAGTATCCCATTTCTAGATCAAATTATTTCTACTGTGAATAACTCCAGCACAAAAGAAATTAAAATTAACAGTATGAAAATGCATTCAGCGCCTACTCCCTGAATTATTTGCACACACTTTTGGGGCCTACCCCATGCCTGTCCACCAAGCTAGAAGACTCCTTCTAGTCAATTTTGCACTTAACCAGTGCAGAATGAAATAATATGCAATTTATATATATACATATGCAAAAAAAAAAGTTCCTAAGCAATTAACCTGATCCTCCTCTCATTTGGACTGCTGCAAACTGAGAATAGGGTCCACTGGAGATTCTCCAGTATCAAAGAAGCATAAGTAAGAGGAGAATCAAGGCCAAGTCCTTAATATGTTTCAACAATTTTATTTTTAAACTGACTATTTTAATTAAACAAAAGCATAAACCATAACACCAGCTAGGGAAGTATAACTTATCTTGTTACATCAAATCTAGTATCATTTATTTCTTGGCAATCATTAGCACTTTATGTTGACTTTTTTATTGCTTTTGACAAAGGTAGAGTACAGAAGCAGAGAGAATGTATTTTTTAAAAAAAATCTAGCACTTTAAAACAAGCACTGTCTTAATTTGTGCCTCGTCACATCTGTGATTTGTTACCCGTTTGGTAACGAAGTGCGCGATAACTGTGATGATAACACTGGATGTTTTGTCTGTTGTTACTGTAATATGTACATGCCATTGGAAAATTGACTTCTCTTTCAGAGTACAGTGCAGTAATATGCAGGTCACACTGATGTGAGCTCACTGTTCAGTAGAAGAGGTGGAGGGCATCAGCAAAAACTTTAGGTCACTGCCAGTCAAAAATTAACATGAAGGAAAATACGTGAAATTTCATATATGCCCTTTAATGTTCATTTTTGAATGGCAGTAAGAGATCACGTAACAGACATGGCCTACAGCTAGGAGCAACCAGGCTAAAAGTAGCACAGAAGAGCTTTGCCATCTCTCTCTTGCTTTGCCCTGCAATAAGAGTCCTACTCTGTCCCTCTAGGAGGAGACGTGCAAGCGTACATTTCAAGTGCTTATCTAACTTTCAGGAGAAAAAGACAGAGAGAGCAAGCCTGAAAAAAACAAATTGTATATAAGATTTTCACAGGCTATCTTAAAGGACTAACAAGTAAAGAATTTGAATCTGAGAAGTTTGGCTTTTTGTCCAAGACATCAGAGAAACCCTTTTTAACCATGGGCTTTATAAGTGGAGTGCACGGCACCCGCTATGAAGTTGTACCTACTTTCATGCAAAATGCCTGAGTACCCAATTCCAAAGCAAAGCTCCGTGCATGATCCACTGCATCTCTGAGAAAGACTACCCGCCATCTAGATAAACCCATTTTGTCAAGTTTGTTGGTGTCAGATACCTGCTTCATCGGTCCTGAATTTCATTCTTGTCTGTTCCAGCTGTTCCCTATCATGTATGCAGCACATACGGACAAAAGCAATAAGCACATCATGATCTAAGACGCTGTGGCTTGTAATCATTCTTCTGTTAAGTTAGTTTTCCACCTGATTGAAATAGCCATGGATATATTGCACATTTGCTCAATTATTATTCAGATGTTTCTGAAGAGGTCTTACATGGGGATCAAATCCATGCATGTGGGTCTAATTACAGACTGCTGCAAGATGTGCGTAAGGTCAAAGTTTGATTGTGGGCAAATTTGATTACACATGTTGTTATTGTGGTTCAACCTCATTTCATGCAAGGAGTTACACAAATAATTTAAAGGGCATCTCTGTTTACAAGTGTATCGCCAGAACAGTATATTTTGAATGATCAATTATAGAAAAATATTGATCAGTCTTTTCTCATTCAAAAAATTCAGTTTAGGGTGAATCCCAGAGAAATCAATGCAAGTGTACTTAGGAGAGCTGCATTAAGACACAACAGTCAAATTCTGTTTAGAGATTAATAATTCAGCAAATGAACCTTATGCATATTTTTGAAGAAAATCACTCTTAAGCACACAAACTCATGGGCTTACTTGTGAGTGAATGTGTTTGGGACTCAGCCTACTCCAAAAGTTATTATTTTAGGTTGCGGGACCATTTGCATTGACAAAACTCCTATGAAATTTAAGTGTGTGGAAAGTCAGAATTGGATTTACAAGCTGCCAAGTGTTGTGGCCTGATTTAGAGGTAATGCTTATATGCTTAAGTTCAAAACCGGTGAAATAGGTCGTTTGCAAATCGAATCCTTAAAGTATTTGGATTTCAGGTCTGTCATAGCCATCATCAGCACAAATGTTGAAAGAATTCAGGTAAAATGGTTTTTAGATAGTTAGATAGATAGAGCTAAATAACAGTGATCTCCACATCACGTATTTTAAAGCTGATTGTTTCATGTAAAAAGTTTTCAAAGGAATTGTATTTTTCATATCAGGAAAGTGAATGCATTTAAATATAGCCATACAAAGAAATTATTTAGCACTTCGAATTATACATTTGGTTCAGAGGGGGCAGTCAAAACAACTGTGACATTTAAAAACAAACCTGGAAAATCAACTGGTGCAACTCTCCTTGTAACCAAAGCGCCCCCCCCCCTTTTTTTTTGCCTTGTGCAGATAAATGTGACACAAACCTCTCATACATTAAGTCAAAACTTTTCAAGTGGCATTTATGGAGTGACTTTTGACCACTTGGTTTAAAAGTATGATAAAATTTCTACCGTTTGAGTGTTAATCACCAAAATCCTAGAGATTTCTTATAGAAAGAGAATAATTAAAGCTGAACATATGGTGTGCTCAAAAACATTTCTTCGGTTTGTAAAAGTGCAACTTTAGCCCCAGTTTTGTGGCTAATGAAGGATGGCGTCTGGGGCAAGTCCCATTGCCATGAATGGGAATGGCACAAGACCATGGTCCTGTTCCTATATTCTCCATTCATTTCAGCGCGGTTTGTGCTGAAATGCTTCCCAGTGGATTGTGTCCACAATTACTTTAAATGAAATTATTATATGTAAAAAATAAGAATAGATTATGAGCACTGGGAAATCTACTCTGAACTGAAAAGCATTTGAAATGAAAATAAAAATGCCGAGAAACACAGGTCTGCACTCATTGAAAAGAAAAAGTAGTGCTTTGAAAAAACCTAATCAAAAAGAAAAAGCCCCCAACGGGTAGTTAAATTATACCGGTACATCATCAGCTTTATCACCAGGATCTCCTAGATTGACTGAGTATCTCCAAATAGCTGCAATGAGGTAGAACAGGAGTGGGCAGCGTACAGAAGTCCAAGCACCAATTGTCCCTGCGCTGCAGGGCTCCCACAGCTATATTTTTCCTTCAAGTTGGCTGTTTTTGCCACCATGATGCCATATTTTAAAAATAAGCAAACACAGGACAGATTGCTGTCATGATGCCACCTTTTGGCGGCAAATTCAACAGAGCTGGGAGCTGCAAAAAGGGTCAGAACAGGGCCCCGAGTGGCCAGGAGCTGTGCAGAATGGTGAAGGCTGCTGAAGCTGCTACCATGGACCTGGCGCTCAGACAGACAAGCCAAAGCCCATCATCACTTGTTAGGTGAGACTATGTCAGGCTTTGGGAGGGACTGAAAGTTTGGCCTGTTCCAAGCCCTGCTCAGGCATGAGGCTGACTGGATGGTCCTGGCCAGTCACTATTTCTCAGCCCAAACTTGTGACAGTAACCTGGGGAGGGGAGAGAGCTCATTGGAGGAAAGATGGAATGCAGATTAAAGAAATCAGCTCACTAATTAGTTTAGCTTTCCCCCTGGCTTGCTGGGTGTTTATGTATAAAGTAATATTTTACACAGAGAAGCATTCAATCACTCAATTCTCCATGCTGTCCCAAATGGTCCAGGCCAACTCCAGGAGTTAGTAGTTCTCAGAAAAATCTGCTGCTGCTGCTGCTGCTGCTGCTGCTCCTCCTCCTCCTCCTCATGGCACTCTTGGGCAGCAGTAGCAATAGCCTAAGCAACACCAGGCACCTGCACCAAACTGCCACCTTACTTTCCCACAATGCTCCTCCATAGCACTGCTCCGGGGCATTATAGGAAATGCAGAGGACAGCTCCCACTGCTGTGGGAATTTCCAACAATGTCTGGGATGAATGCTATATTGGTGGAATTATGCGAAATTAAGGTGGTGGGTAGACCCAGCCAACCAGCCACGCAGTGTGGGACAGGCATCCATGGTGGATTTTCCTGGGGTGCTGGTGCCACCATGGATGGCGATACTGGTGCTGGATGATACCGGCCTTGGCAGTGGTGTAGCCATATATCAGATGGAACCTGTCATTTCTTAGCTCTTACTTACAAGTGCAGAAATAGGAGCCAGAAACACCTGCACTAACTCTAGTTGTATGGTTTTCTTGACCCAAGAAAGATTAGCCGTGGACCAGGGGGAATATAAAATCATCTCTTCCAATCTGACCATCAGTACCTTTGATTATGCACCACATGTCCAGCAAGTCAACTAACGGATTGCTGTTTCTGCAGAATTGGGGCCTTGTACCTCTTGTGTGTTTCACCTGCATTTTA